GAAAACTGGCGCGACCAGTTTACAGGCCACCTCGACTCAAGCAACAACGCAGCTCATCTAGGAGGAGTGGAGGGCATGGCCTAGGTGGAGCCATTTTTCTTGCCATTTAGAAGCCCCTTGAGGTTGACATTTACAGGAATGCGCTCTCTTCTCTCCAAGGGTGTCAGATTCATACAAAATCTGGAATGAAACAGCCATAAATAAAATTAGGATTGATTGTTTAGCGCTAAATATTCGTATTAGGGACCTTAAGAAACCACGACGAGGATGCCAACGAGGACGTGGAAAAACAAGAGATCTAATTGGCAGAACAATAGCTCAGCACGTGCGTTTTGAAAGTTTGTACATTTCTTAGCCGTCCTATGCAAAACAACAACGTGAAATCGCCAAAATTTGCGTCGTCTGCGAACCGAAACCGCGACGGCAAATTATTTTAATTTCCATTTGGAACTCAACGGCTACTTTATACGTCATGCTGAAGTTGAGCTGTGGCGCTGTACGAGACAGTAAGCTCCTGCAGCCATTTTTGAAATTCTAACTAAGAGTAGAAATTCATTTTTTAATCTAAGTCTTCCTTGGCGTCGCCGTCGTGGTTTCTTAAAGTCTCTATTGTCTACACAGACCACGGTGTTTCACAATTCATTTTTTTTCTCTTATCTTATCTTAGTATTCTGTCCTTATTATCATGCAAAGTAACAACCTTCTTGCTACAGAGAGACTGTCTGTCTTGGATTCGACGACATTTACAACGCGCCTTCAGATTCATTAGAAACCCAAAATTATATTTTCCTCTATAAGTATCTACAGCTTCAATTTCGTGTGTGACAGGAACAAAAGATAAAATATCTCCAAGAAACTGTTAAAGTACCTTTTAAACTCTTCCAGTTCACGTTCTGCTTCATCCATTTGTGTAAGTTTCTAAGAGACACAAAAGGAAATTGAAATAATATTCTACAGTTAGATTACGATCACGCTCAGATATTGAATGCAAATGATCTAACTTATTTGGTATAAATCTGCTAGTCGTTGACACCAAGACTACCTCGTGTTTTCAATTACCTGCACATTGTTAGGCTATGCAATAATGGAGTAAATGGCAAGTAGAGTAGCCAATCAGATCGCAGCATTCATTTATAGAACGATAGTAGACTTGTATCAAAAGTATAATTAATGAATATTTTCTCTCTTCTCAACGTTCCGAATTTTTAAGAAATCGAAAATGACTTTTCTATTGAATTCACCGTCTACAGTCTCTTACTGAGTGCATACACTTCTGTGCTTCACGGCTGTTCTTCGCCATGTTCCACTAAACATAAACCAGATTGCAAATGAGACAAGTTTAGCAATGTTTAGCTAACACTGCCGAAACCTCAATAAACAAGACAGATGCACGATTTTCTTTTCCTCCTTTAGATTTGGCTTAACGATAACTAAGAACCTACCTCGATATCTTCCCGCGGCAGGAAAACATCATCATCATCTACAGGATAAGTAAAAAAAAAATGGCTTATGAACAAATACATGTACGATAACACAAAAACGACAGTGCCACTTAGTCTACCAGGTTGCCATAAATGAACGTACAGTAAGCCAATTCAACTTAATCTGACTACAACTGGAGCAGGAATGATGGACGAGGGGCAATGAAACTCTCACTAAACTTGCACCTCAAGAATTTTTCCCGCAGGATTGGCGGTGCTTACCTACTGACGCCTTTTTCTTCTTTTTTCCTTGCTTTTTCTGCGGTGGTGGACCGTCTGTTTTCTCCTGCCCTTCGTGCTTGCTACTGCTAACAGGGCTTTGATCAGGTGATCCCGATTCCTGTCGTTTTTTCTCCGATTTCTCTTCCGTCTTTGTCCGCGCACCAAAGTTGTTTTCGTTTTCGTGACTCGCTACTTGGCGTGACATTGTGACATCCTGATTTGAGTGATTTCTTTTCTTGCGCGACTTGCCACCTTCGCCTGAGATTTGTAGTTGTTTTTGTTCCTGCTCCTTCACCCCGTGACCTTGTTTGCCGTTTAGTAGTTCTTTGCCGTTAATAGCGGGTGTTTGGTGGTTTGCGGTCTCGTCAGACTCTCGTTTGTTCCTCAGGTTATCAGTGGTGCCGTTGAAATGAATCCCGTTCATGTTTCCTCGGTTAGAGGGGGAAGATGGAGGAACTTTGTCGTCTGTTTGATCATTCGAGTTCACATTCTGCTTAGCTTTCTCAGCCGCCTGGAAGATGAAAATTGTCACAAGTGAAATATTTTTGTTCATTCTTTTATTCATTTACTTAAATGTTTAACACTCACGCATGTCTCATAGTCCATCATCGAAAAACAAGGTGGAGGTGGAGGTGGAGGTGGAGGTGGAGGTGGTGGTGGTGGTTGTGGTGGTGGTGAAGGGAAGGGAGAGCTGGCAGCGACCATTAAAACAATTGTTGGGTGTTCCAAAAACTTTGGATTAGGTAGGCTGCATAGCTTGCAACATTAACACGGATGATTAATATTTATCACTGATCACGAATATTTATCACTGATGTTGTTATTAGTTTTTAATATCAATGTCATGATATTGAAGATGATGATGCTAGCGACAAACAGTCAAAAGCATTGTGGTGTCTGATTTCTCCTTTGAGTTCCACTCACCTTCTTTTGTTTTTGCCGCGCTCTTTTCTGCGCTTTCGATTTTGCCCCCAGTCTTTCCTCTTCCATTTTCTGCCCATTGATAAACGTAAGGAGATCGTCTACTGATCGGTGATCAACGACAGGCGCATTCGCCGTCTTCTTCTTGTTCTTGTTCTGCTGTACGGGGTGATTTGGCTGAGAGAGAATAAAATCAGTTACTGCTAAAGTTCAAGTAGTTTTCCACCCATTATTGCGTCAATTTGCATCTGTCTAAACATTAAAACTTCGATTTTCCAACGGTCCCGAGGAGAGTTTAAAGATGACTCATCTCCCATAACGCACAGGTAAAATTTCAGACTACTCAGAAGACAAACAGTAACAACACCTGAAGACCAAAAGCTCATTTCACCTGCCGTTTGTTGAGTCGATTTCTTAACTTGTCCCGTATTTCAGTGTAATTGCGACTGGTTGGTGCTACAGGAGGCTAAAAATAGAAAATTGCTACAGATCAGAGAAATTATGAGGAAAAGTCAGCATATTTTAAAAACTGACACGCGCACCACGCACCACTAGAGTATGACATACATGAATAGCTGCTCTGAAACTCTTCTTCTACCTGTTTTCAACACCTTCTGTTCAGCATAATTAAGAGCAAAGAAAATTGCTGGAAAAGAATCTGAAATATACTGCACATACACATAGTAAGTTTGTGAAATGATCTGATCCACTTTTCTCAGTCATTCATTTCATCCTACCACAAAAACAATTCGACCACTTCTTGATATATCTCTCGGTTTCAAACCATATACGGAAAAATCAAGTAAGGTTATTTCATTAGAAGTACGCAGTTTACTTACTGCAGCATGGCCGAAGAATTCACAATAACAACAATCGCAGTATTTCCCACGATCCGTCCGGCCATCATCCGTTGATGATGTACACTGACTGTTGACAGGTGGAGTGTCACATGAGCTGCCGTCTCCACTGCTCCGCACACTTGACGGGGACCCAGGGGGGACATCAAGGCCCAGGCCGTCAATGTCTACGACAAAAAAGATCACATACAAAAAAAGAAAAAGAAAAAGAGAGTCATAAAACGCCAAGACAAAACAAGCTTACATTTCACTTGCAAACAATCAACAAACCAATTCTTTCCACCCGGCTCTGAAATATACTTGGGAAATTTCTGACAATTCTTTATCCATTTTAGACATCAAAGTTTCAATTGAAGGTAACGGTTTATGCACTAGTGTGTATTACAAACCTACAGACTCGCATAATTACTTGTCATATTCGTCTTCGCATCAATCTCACGTTAAGAATTCCATTCCTTTTTCTCAGTTTCTAAGACTTCGTCGTTTATGTAGTGATGACTCTGATTTCCACCACAAATCAGAGTCAATGTGCCAGTTCTTCGATAAACGTGGTTACCCTGTTTCCGTCGTTCAAGCGGGTTACCACCGCGCTCAACTTATTGATCGACATTCAGCACTACAAACGTCGCATAAGGAAGATTCCGACCGCATTCCATTCACTCTCACGTTTCACCCTCACAACCACTCAGTTAAATCCATCATTCTTAAAAACTTTAAATTACTTCAAAACGATCCAGAGACAAGCACTATCTTTTCGCAGCCTCCGCTCATTTCATTCAAACGCGACAAAAACATAGGCAATTTTTTGGTCAGAAGTTCTTTTCAGACTAATGACCAACCAGGCACTTTTAAATGCGCTCGTGCACGATGCAAAACGTGTCCTTTCATTCACAACACTGATAAAATATCGGGACCTAAACGATCCATTAAGATCACCGATCACTTCACGTGCACCTCCGCCAATGTAATCTATTGCATAACTTGCACTTATTGCAAAAAGATATACATCGGCGAAACAGGCAGAAGACTAGGTGACCGATTCCGAGAACACCTTCGAGACGTGGAAAGGAATGACAAGGACACATCGAAACCAGTCGCTAGACATTTTAATTTACCCAATCATTCTAAGCAACATATGGCAATCTGCGGTCTTTCCTTGCACTTAGGTGGCACGGAAAGCCGTAAAAATCTTGAACAAAAGCTCATCTTTCAAACCGGCAGTCTAAATCCCACAGGGATCAATGAACGCTTTTCATTCCACTAATTTATTCATGTTTTTCTCGTTGCCATGCACCCACCAATAACGTAGCTCCATTTTCTGCCTTTAAAAGCACACACAACCCACAATTCCTCTATTCGCTCCGACGAAGGGCTAACGCTCGAAACGTCAGCTTTTGTAATCATTACGGTGGCCAATTTACCATTTCAACTTTGTTGATATATCCAAATTATTTCGTTACTCCCACCGACGCAGCCCCAAACAGTTTCTTTCGAAACTATCAGCCTTTATTCATTTGTA